ATGGGTTAAAAACTCCATGGACTATCCATGCAAGCTTAGCCTAACCTAAATGAACTTGGCCCATTCTATATATATAAGAGTCCATATTTAATTAGTTCATTTTGATCACTAAATTAATTCTTGATCAATACTAATTAAATAATATGATTTCAAATTAATATATTATAACTAATAATATATTAATAAATCATAACTATACTATTCTCAAAAGATTATCCATACAAATTGTTTCGGTGAAGTGCAGCCCAAATGGACCATGCCGGGTCGGGTCAAGTACATACCAAATATAGTTACGGACTTAGACACCTTATCCAACAATTATGTGGATTGTGTGTGGGGTATGCTCTAGGGGACTCACTAAGCATTAGCTCACAGTTTGTGGATTCGTTTCAGGTACATCTGAGCCCAAGAGCAAGGGCAAGGCTTGATGGCGTGGTGTGCACTCTCTCAGACACTATTAGGGGACCTTCTGATGTTTTGAAATAAAATTGTAATTGATATGAGTTTTTGAAAACAATTGTATTTGGAATTCGCGGTTTATGGGAATGTGTTTTGGTTAATCAAAAATGAAAATTTTCATTTGAAAAATGGGGTCGTTACAAGTATGTTTAGATGTGTTTGTTTTTTGTTGTCATGGTTACATTATTTAGGGTCTTGTTTTGTTTGCGAGTGTGTGATTAAAACATTAATTTGTAAATAAAACAATGTACTTTGTATGTTGACAATTACCTACTATACACCCATTTAAGCATTCTACTTTGACTGTTGACCCAAACCTAAAATACATGTAACATTAGACCAAAAATAAAATTGTACTCTGGTTTGTAATTTGATTGTTTAAAAATAGGTACCATCCCATTGTACTTTGGTTTGTGACATTCTACTTTGACTGTTGACCTAAACCTAATATACACGTAATAATGTACCAAAATGACATTGTATTTTGGTTTGTAACACAACTCAAGTATACAACTAAGAAAACACCTAAAATAGCATTGCACTTTTGTTTGTACTTTGTATGTTGACAATTAGGTACCATCCCAGTATACTACAATCCATCTAAAGCCAACCTTTAACATCAAAAGACAAGCTTAAACACAAATCTACCATTGCTACAAGGAATTCTGGTTTGAAACGCATGCACTAATAAAAAAAAAGTCAAAATATAACATAAACATAATTTGTAGTAGAATACAGTTTCCATTCGATTCCAAACAACATTCATACAACAATGGTCATACAATTTGAAATGCATGAACTAATAAAAAAATCAAAATATAACATGAACATGAAAAGGTTGTAGAATACAGTTTCCATTCGATTCCAAACAACATTCATACAACAATGGTCATACAATTTGAAATGCATGCACTAATAAAAAAATCAAAAGATAACATGAACATGAAAAGGTAGTAGAATACAGTTTCCTTTCGATTCCAAACAACATTCATACAACAGTGGTTATACATACATGATTCACGAGGTTTTCTACTATCCAAAATCCCCAAAAAATAGTTTTAACCCATCTAAATACTACCATTACTAACAAACTTAAACCTATCATAATACTATCCAGTGATGACGACAACTAGAACAAAAACCAACAGAAAACCACCCCAAAAAACCCAAAATCCATAACCCAAAAACCCTAAAATCGCCATCAATAACCCACAAACTACATCCACCCTAAACCGAAACCCCCACAACCAAAAACCCCATAAACAACACCAGAAACAAGAGTCATGCCAATCGCTACAATTGCCTTCAAGACGTTCCTCATCTCACGAAGATCAGTCCTCATCGCCCTCATTTCCTCCTGCAGCTGTTGTCCCATCTGTTCCAGCTCCACTTGGGTTTCCATGGCAAGAAGCTCGTACTCAGTAGGTGGAATGTCTAAATCTGTCTCACGAAATCCACCGTTATTGGAGAAGGTTTTTTGAGACATTGTCTGGAAATGATCGAGGTTAAAATCTATTTGGTGGAGAAGGAAGAACAAAGGAGAGAAACTCATAAAGGTAACAAAGTGGGCGAGATGAACTAACTAGAGTATCGCTTACATTATATAATGGGATCATCGACGACGTGGCAATTCTTGGGGTCTAAGGGTTGCATTGTGGACCACACTCAGCTGCCACTTAAGCAGTGAGTAAGCATCCATCTCACATATTTTATGATGATTTGGCAACGAAACCTTTTATCAAGGGTCAAGGGACCATTTCAACAAGTCACTTTATACTTCATTCTCTTTTTGTACCAAAAAAATAAATAGGTGATCTTTTAAAACAAACGTAACAAGTTTGTTGGGCAAATATGATATTTTTCGAATTTATATATATAAAATCACTTTCGTTCGTTAGCTTTAAAAAAAACTAATTTATTACGTGTTTATTATTATGTATGTATCGATATAAATTCGAGGTGGTCAACATTTCAACGTAAATTTAGAACTTTCATTCATGAATTTAGAAAAAAATACTTACTTTTTTTGACGTTATTTTTTCGCGTTTTCTGCTATGTTTTATGTATATTTTTACTTATGATTCGGGTCATATATAATATATTTTTGATTATTTGAAATTATGTTCATTAACTTAAAAAAAAATTACTAACTTATTTTTATGTACGTGTTGGTATAAATTCGAGTTTCTTTATGTTTTGACGTAAATTTTGTATACGTTTTTGTCTTACTTTATGTATGTTTCCTACGTATGAGTTGAGTCACATATAATACGTTTTAATTTGACTGTATGAAGTGGAGTTAGTCAGGGTACTCCACTTACCGTGTATATTTATCTACCAACAAATGAAATGATACATAATTTTTATCAATACGATTATCAAAATTCAACTTATAAAACGGATTGGCCGCGTTGCAATGTGTGGCAAGCAAGTTACTAGCAATATATTAACATACGATGTTTATGGATGTTTCCATTGATACTTGACACCTCTCTACTTTATGGAATGACATTTTTCACCCCTCTAATTTTTAAATACTTTGTAAAATTATATTTTTCACCACATTATTTTTTAAAATGTCACTTTGACCCTTTCAATATGAGCTTTGTAAAATATCGCTTTAACCGCCTTCATTTTGTAAACTTTCATGTTTATCCCCCGTAGTATACATTATCTTATTTTACTTAATAACTTTCGTTTGTTAACTTAAAAAAAAACTACTTTTTTACATGTTTATTTTTATGTGTGTGTCACTATAATTTAAGGTGGTCAACGTTTCGACGTAAATTTAGAACTTTCTTTCGTTAATTACTTAATTTTTAAAAACAAACCTTAATTTTTATGTATGTTTCGGTATAAATTCGAGTTTGTCTCGGTTTCAACGTAAATTTTTTTATGTTATTGTGCTTATTTTTATCTATGTTTTCTACATATGAGTCGAGTCACATATAATACGATTTTTTTATGTGCATGTCAATATAAATTCTAGTTTATTTACGTTTTCGTGCTTATCTTTATGTACGTTCCGTACGTATGAATTTGGTCATATATAATACGTTTTCATTTGATTGCATATATTGCAGTTAGTCGGTAGTACCTATTTTGGTAAAAAAAAAATTGTGTTAAGTGTATACCAATCAAATTAGTAAAGTTTGTGGTGTTGAGATCGGAATGTAGTATAAAAATGTAAGTGATGGACAAGAGGGTTATGAAGAAAGCCCTTGATTTTGACTAATATATCCGACACAAAACCTCGGAAGCCGACAGTTGTCGAGTTGTTTTTGATGTTTTTTATTAAATAATTGAAAGAGTACAATCTGAAAGCTTTGTTGTTGATTACAAGTAAAAAGTAGTGTGTTCGTGTGTATACATGTTCAAGACAAACTATCTTTTTTCCCAATGTTTCCAACGGATAGTAACAACCATGCTAAAATCTCGACATTTATCTTTTGATCCGAGATTCTTAGTGACTGAATCCTTTTCCTCGTGTTTCTTATTGAGATTCCGAATTGATCAAGTCTTTATTGACATATTCAAGACGAATCGAAGAAGTAGGCAAATAAAGAATAAAATGAACCAGTTAGTAGCCTACGAAATCTTGAGTAAGATGTTGGTCAAGATCTTATCCGGTATGTTGTTCCGAATCTTGCAAAAGATTCCAAAAGTTAATTTTTACCCATAACAATACCGACTTTGTATATTATCTACCAAAAAAAATATAATGATACCTAACGTTTATAAATACAATCATCAAAATTCAACTTACAAAACGGATTGCCGTCGTTGCAACGTGTGGCAGGCAAAATCCTAATTCGAAATTAATCTTATAAAATACGATAAACACGAAAAGCATGATAAACACATGTTAATATCGTGTTGATTTTGTTTCGAATCTTGAACACAACACGACATCACATCATATTTTTCACACTTAATATGAACACAACAAAACACAACACGAATTCAAATTTTAATTTCGTCCCATTTTTGTTTCGTATCCTGTATTTTTATCGTATCGTGTCATGGATTGTCATCCTAAAGATAGTGTACATTTGATTATTTTTTTATTTAGATAAATAACGGGATTTGGGACCATTAGCTATAGTGAACAAAATTTTTACTTTAAAAATAACCAAGTTAAAATATAAAAAAAAATAATAAAAAAAAAAGCACATCATTTAACTACTTAATTTATTTTTTTTGTCAAGTAGGGTTATCCATAAGGAAATGCAGCACAATAAACAAATTGCATTATTCATTCTACAATCTTTCCACAATTGTGAGGATCTTTTCAAGTAATTTCCCATAAATATAAGATACAATTACAAACATGCATCAACATCATATAACAACCTCTTACATCTACATTTACATATAGATGTATAATGTTGTTGTTTTCTTATAACAATTAGTACATAAAAAGTATATATATGCTTAAAATTGTGGCAGCTCAACTCAACTCAACTCCTTCCAATCCTTAAAGATGGATCAACAGTCTTACCAAAGCTTGTAGCAAAGAGCCTAGCAATCTCTAACTGCGTATGAGCAATTATCTCGGTTCTTTTCAGATCAATTTCTCCTCTTTTCACCTCAGCATCCGCTCTCATTTTCTCCAACTCCCGCATTGTTTCAACTTTAGCCTGCTCTGACCTCACCATCACTTTAGCCAACCATCTTATGCTCTCCGCTACATCCCAACTTTCTCTTTCTCCTTTTCTTCGTCTTTTTCTATTATTTGTATTCTTGTGGTTTTGGTTTTTCGTCTGTATCTTTCCCTTTTCGTTGCTATAAAGTGCTGGAGTGCTACAGTCAGTTTCAATTTCCATTTTTTCAGATACTTGATTCTCTTTCTCGCTCGTTTTCATACCAACCACATCATCTTCCTATTAAATTAAAATGTTTAAGTAAGGGATTGATCATGTAAAATATATAGAAAGGGAAAAATACAATTTTCATAAAAAGTGAGCAAACTTTTCTTTTTTAAAAAGGATGACGTGTTATTGATAAATGGCCCCATATGCTTTAGTAGGTTTAGGGTTTGGTCACAAACCTACTCTTAAACTAATACATTATTTGATGACCATACAATCCAATAAGAAGATGCCAAGTTTCGGTTTTGATATCTACATCAACAAAAATATCATTATAATTATTATATCATTTGCACTTGTTTAATTTGCAAAAAACAGTAATCATATTGTTTAAAGATCAATAAGAGTAGTCACGAGAGCCAAGGAGAAGACGGGAGGGAGAAAGGATAGGGGTGGGGTGGGGTGGGGTTCTTTGTTTTGATTAATAAGAATATTAAAGAAAAAAAAAAGACAAAATATGACTAAATTGGTCATTTTACAAAAGATAAACATAAAATAGTTAGATTTAACGTCTACATATGATCTTTGCAAAAAATGAAAAATTGATAGGGGTTGGGGAGGGGTGGCAATGGTGGTCGTCGTTGTTTTGAGTTTTTGTTTAGTTGTGTTTTTAATTATTAGAAAGCAAAAAATTTAAAAAAAAAAAAAAAAAAAAAAAAAAAGATAGGGTAAAAATGTCTTTTTGCAGGCACTTAGCAATACAATTCTAACGGGGTTAGCCAAAGAATGCACAATGTAATAAACTTAAACCACAAGGACAAGTTGTAACGAAAAAAAACTTGGACCAAAGTGTCTATTTCTCTATACCACATGAACCATTTATGTAAATTAATTCTATCAATATTTGAGTTAATATATCATAGAATATAAATAAATGGTATTAGTATTTTTATACTTTCTAACAAAAATATTACAAAAATATAACTTATAATAGTTATTGTAGCTAATTATCATAAAAACTACTATCCTGATTTTATGTCTATTGGAACCTTCCATGATTTTATTACATGCCCAAAAACCACATGTTAAACGCATAAACCTACGTTAAAGTTTTTACTATTTAAAGCCCTCTAAAAAACCCAATATTAAAACACAATTTTCATCTTATTGATTGTTAAATAATAAAGCGTGTAACAAGCACAAAATTAAGAGTGTAGATTATTTATTTTTTTTATGTAATAGGTCATGTTTTTCTACGCTTTTCCTATTTTTCTATTAGAAATTTAATATTTGTTCCAATATATGAATAAAAAATTGCATTTAATATAGAAAAATACTGGAAGTTTCAAATGATTAGAGTATAAAATACAATATAATTTTAAAATTTTAAAAGAAATGGAAAGAACTCCACGCACCTTGTTCTCCCGATCGAAGCCATTAGAATCGATTGAATTCTGTCCAATTACTTGATGTACCGGAGTTGCAACCGGCAAGGGCACCGGTAGAGTGACCGGCGGACTCGATGATTGAATCATCGGCAGAGGTTGCGGTGGAGGCGTGTGTTCAAACACCATCAGAGGATGTTTGTTAGCAACGAGAGTCGAAGAAGACGGTGGATCACCGCCAGATGTTACAACCGGAGGACCACCGCTGCCACGCAACAACAGATCCAAACGCGGAAACAGCGGCCACGACGATACATCGGAGGTGGCGGACTCCGAACGGTACCGTTTCTTCATCG